CCATTATTCTAAAAAGGGAAAAAAGAGAAAAAATGGGGGATTAGTCACAGATATTTGCAAGATGGTAGAATATACAAAGTCCAAATGAAATTTCCGCAAATCATAGTTGAACACTTAGAGTGTGTTTGATTGCGATTATGAAATTTGCATGGAAAGAAAATAAGTTTTAGGTAATGCAATGTGTTTGATTAATTCAATTTTTAATATAAAAATATTATATTTATCCATTTTTATTGGTGGGTAAATGAGAGAGAGTCCATAGATGGGAGAGAGAAAGAGAAAATGAATTACTTAGAAAATAAAACCACCACTCCTTAAAAAGAAAGTTTTCCTTGTTTTTGAAGAAAATATAGTCATATGACCAAAAAATTAGAAAATATTTTTTATGAAAAAAATTGTTAATCAAACAATCCAAAAATAGGAATTTGGTTGGAAAAATAACATTTTCATGGAAAATAAAGCAAATCAAACACACTCTTAGGGTGCATTTGATTGCAAGTATAGAATTTGCATGAAAAGAAAATAAATTCTAGGTAATTCAATTGTCTAGAATATATTTGATGAAAATTGTCAATTAAATAAGTTTGATTGATTTAATTTTGTAACTTAAAAAATATTATACTTGTCCATTTTTTATTGGTGAGCAGATGAGATAGTGTGAATAGATGAGAGAAAGAAAGAGAGAGTATATTCACTAGAAAATAAAATCATACTCCTCTAAAAAAAATATTTCATTGATTCTGAGAAAAATATGATCATGCGACCAAAAGTAGAAAAATATTTTCTATGAAAAAAATCTTAATAAAAAAAAAATATATATATATATATATATATATGAATTTTAGTGAAAAAAAATATTTTTCATGAAAAATATTGGCAATCAAACGCAACTTTAATGTCATTTGGAGATAATACAATTTTATATACTCAACTATAACTTTACTCTTATCATTATTCTCTCTACGTACTCTCGGATTCAAATTCCTATTATGTGATTCACATTTTAACACATCCCCCTCCCAACTAAATATTCTCAAATTCTCAAATAGACTGATTCGACCGTTGTAATGCTCGCATGTGCCTTTCCACCACCAAAGAAGGTCACATGCTTTAACTGTTTGTCCAAGTTTACAGAAAGACGACTACAATAGCCTGAGTGAAATTGGTATCTATTGACCATGTCATCCATGTGAGGATCAATGCCAACATCTATCATTTAGCTTAACAACATTTGTACTATACTTTTAATATTCACCCCGGACATTTGTTTATCTCTTTTGGCTACCTCAAACGATTGATTGTTATAGTGTTTAAACCTCTCTAATGAAGTTGAAAATGCTATATAAATTAAGAAGAAAAAAGATTTAAATCTATATAGAAAACACCTTAAATATCATGTTAATGAGCGTTTGGGCACAACTTATTTGAAAATATTGTTTTTTTCAAAACTCCTTTTCAATCACACATTCTTCTAGGCACAGCTTATTTGAAAATAATATTTTCTCAAAACTTCTTTTCAAGAACACATTCTTCCATAATTTTTAACCATATATTCTCAAAAAAAAAAAAATCACTTTAAATAATCTCTCTCAGCAAAATATAAATTTCTTTCTTGCTGTATACACATAAGACACCAGTAATAAATGTGAACTCTAATATCAATTTTAGATGACTTGAAAACCACTGCGAGAATAAAGCGCCAATTTGGTGTTCATCAATTATTTAATAACACAATTGAATACATTATTCATACGAAAAAAAAAATATATCTTGGAATAAAAAAAGAAAGCTAGCGATCCATGACTTATCGATATGGGGCCTACTTTTGCCACGTGAAATAAAGAGTTCCAAGGTTGGAACAAACTCCCATCCACCCCCATCTTTTCCATTTCATGAATCTATCTTTTTGTGCTTTTCCTTCATAAGATTTTATAGGGTTTCTTGTCCAATGTAGTTTCCATACACTATTTTAACTTGTACAACAATGCTCTTTGGAACTTGCAACCTGCAATGAAATAATATATATGTTCACAAAAAGAAAGTGTCCTTTTCTATTTTTTGAAATTTATTGATG